CCCCAAAACCCCAAAACCCCAAAACCCCAAAACCCCAAAAGATTTTGTGCTAGTTGAATGTTTTATTTACCTATCTCTTGAAACTTCTCTTTATAGCCAGAGATTTTGTTAAGGATCTCCTCCCTCTCTCCTTCATTGATGAAGGACTCTTTAGCTTCAAGTTCTGTGAATTCTTTATCAAAGAACCTTAAGTCATATTTATCATCTTGATTAATTTCAGGGACATATTCAGCCTCAATTTTCCTCTCCATGAGGTCATCAATATCAATATCTTCAAAGAAGGGATGATCTAAGATCTCATTAGCCCCTGATTTTGACCCAAGTCTTTCTTTTGGGTCTTTGTTAAGAAGTTTCTTTATTAGATCCTCAGCTTGATCAGAAACTCCTATTCCATGTTTTTCAAGATCGGGGAACTTTGGCTCTCTCTCTGCGACCATCTTATACATTTTAGATTTGTGTTTATGGTAAAATGGAGGAATTCCAATAAGCATTTCATAGATCAGGATTCCTACAGCCCACCAATCGGATGAGAAATCGTGTCCAATCTCAGAGATCATTTCAGGTGAAAGATACTCTGCTGTACCTCAAAATGTTGTAGCTTGCTCATCTAAATTCAGTATTCTTGATAAGCCGAAATCTGCAAGTTTGATATATCCGTCTTCAGAAATAAGGATATTTTCAGGTTTGAGATCTCTGTATATTATTTTCTTCCCATGAAGAAATCCTACTGCTATAATTACTTGCGCTGCATAAAATTTTGTTCTATTTTCACTAAATCTTTTCTCGTTTAAAATTAAAGTAAAGAGCTCTCCCCCAAGAATCAGGTCCATAAGGAAGTAGACTCTCATCTCATTCTGAAAGACATACTGCATTTCAACAATAAAAGGATGGTGAGATTTACTAAGAATATGTTCTTCTAATTTAGTTGCTTCCAACTGTTGATAGTCAATGATCATATCTTTACGAAGACTTTTCATCGCATAGACTTGATTATTATTTTTGTTCTCAACCATGAACACTTTACCAAACGCTCCTTTCCCAATGACCCTTTTAATGACCATATCTTCGAGAGTGCACTCATCAGCACCAGCATTAGAGTAAAGAGTTGAAGAGCGATATATCTCACTGTCTTTGAGCTTCTCTTCTTCATCTTCTAGGTCAATTTGGAAACTAGACAGAACAGCAGAGGCTCTAAATGATGTCTTGAGGTAATCCTCGGTATCCCACTCATTTGTTGAAATTGTTGAAGGGTTTTCAGACTCTTTCTCATTTTTGGAAATTACTTCTTCAGCTTCCATAAGATACTTCTCGTTTGGAATTCTTGATTTTCCTTTGATTTTATCCTTCTCAGTAGTCGTAAAGCTCTTTAAATCCTTTGTGTCGATACCATAAATAGGCAGATTGGTCTTCATAAGAGAAATTAATATGCCATTTTGAGACTTGAGATAATCTCTTCCCTATGTTCTGACTGATAGCGATAGTCGTACTGCTCTGGAACATGGATAACAAACTCATGTGATTTCTTGGATAAGCTTTTGCTGAGACCTCCAATAGAAGCGATTGGGATTGCTCTTTTTAGCAACCACTTTCCTCCCTTCTTTCTAAAATTATACAATCTAGCAGAAGTTATTACAATGACTCTATTTTTGTGAGAATGAGTATTGGTTTATCTTGTATAAAACATTAGAATAAAAAATCGGTTCATCATTTCCAATGATCTTGAGGACCTCTGAGTCTCCCTGTATGTTCAAATAATCTAAGCTTCCGCCACTTTCCATTGTCTAAAGACAGTAAATTCAATTAAATTTTACCAAAGAGGGGTTTTGGGGTTTTGGGGTTTTGGGGTTTTGGGG